CACCCGCGCTGTATGAAAGAATACCGCCGAATGAGATTACTTCAAAAAATGAGTATTTCCACAGTATTCGGGATCAGAAATCTTAGTCGAGTGCACGTAATTCGCGTACAAGTTGTTGTCACGTTTTTCACTAGAACAAAAGTACACCCCCTAATTTTCGACTTTTTGAAAAAGAACTGCAACTTATGTTTTCTGCTTACTTGGTGACATTGTATCAGCTGTAGAAAAGCTGTTTCTCATCGTATGTCAGTCGTTCAAGCAGCATTCGCAGAGACGGCCAGATGTGATCCAGTCGAGAAAGTGGCTCATAGATTCGTAGGCCAACGCCGTTGTTGGAAAGATTCGAGTGAGACTTCGAGGAACAAAGAGCTGTTGAAGAAGAAACGAAACCAGTGAGACACCATTTAATCAAAATCGTATTTTAGTACTTCCACAGAAAAATGCGTTACATCGACTGCCCACAAAAGCCTCTTGGACATCGGAATCAGCTCACAGAACGAATGCTCGTCATTTAATACAATCGTTACAATATTGACTGATTGCAAACGAAGGGTGGTCCTTCCTGTCCACTATAGTTTTCTCTTTTTTCAAAGAAGATAACCATCGTTTCTAACAGCTCTTATATCATCCATTACTAGCATCGTCGAATTGATGATCTCTTAGCACTCCCCCACCGCTACTCTTTGCAGTCAGCACGTCTACTTATTCTGAACAGGTTTAACTCCTTCCTTGCACTTGCATGTTTCCACCCGGTCCTATTTGCAATCCTTCAATGACCGTACGAGCTCCTCAGCAGTGCTTTTTTATGAAAAAAAAAAGTACTCTTTCCTTCAACGCTCATGAAAGTCTGCAACAAATAATGAAACTTTGTCACACGTATGCATTTGGTTATAATTTATGCAGAGAAAATAACTAAAAATGTTCTCGTGGGTGTATAACATGCCGAAATGTCCACGTGGAAATTTGGTAGTGACTTTACGGGGTAGAAACACAGAATTCTCCGTCAGTTGTTCCAGCCGTGATGTCTACCGTTTTCACATCATGTGCTCTGCAAAAGGCCTGACTATACTTATAAGAACTGCTTCATGTGATCAGTTACGCACATAAACGATTTCGCATTCCACGAAGTGTGTGGTGAATAAACATTTCTAGCACTCCCTACATGGCGGATCTTTCTATGCGATATTCAGATGCTATCGAAATGAAAGCATTCCTGATTTGGTGAAATCATACGAGTCTGACGACTATAGCACCACGGACAGCAGCATCCTGTCCAAGTTTTCCTAGGCCATTCATGAGATGTATTGTGTGCGATAAATCATGCCCGAACACGAGAAACATGAAATACGGTGCATTTTAGAGTTTGAATTTGAAATGGAAAAAAGTGGAAGTTAAGGGCAACTACAAGTTGAATCTGGTCTTTTTTTTTGCGGACATTTTATAACTTTCAAATGCTGGAAGACCACAATCCCATCATTAGATGAAACTCCCGGCAAGGATAAGGCTACAGCCTTAATTGCTGTTGGAAGCGAACTAACTACGCATAGGTGATTATTTCATTATCGGCCATCTGCAGTCCGTGGAAACGCCCAACAATAACAATGGGCTTGGCTAGTGTAATCATACGGATGTGTACGTGTGTAAACAACATATGCGTTTCGACATTTTTCGCAAGTTCGTTCGACTGCACATGTCGGGACGTCCACTGACTCGTGAAGCCAACCACCGCCCACTTGGGGTCGCTGCCCAGAGTTTGAGCACGCAACAGGCGTCAGGCGGCTGGGATTCCGAGACCGGTCGCGGAAGAGATCGACCGCACCGCCCGTTCGGGGATGAGCAGCCGCCAAGCGGGCGACCCAGGCGGTGGGCGGGCGGCGGCCGCCGCCGCGGCCGCCACACTGCGCTGTCCTAGGGCCGATGGCGTGTCAGACGGGCATAAGAGGTTCGTTTCAAGAATTACTGACTACCACAGAACTTCGTTCGCTTCTGTTTTCAGTTATTTTTCATCTTCCTCTCGTTGCTTCAAGGACCCACGACCTCTTTTGTGTTCGTATTTCATGGTCTTCTTGAATTCTTCTAAGTTTCCGTATATTTTTAGCGCTTAGATTTATTCCGTATTGTTATAGCAGTGACGGGCAACATACATTTGGTCGCGCTTATTCGCACTTCTCAGCTGCTTTCTTAATTGGCGATTGCAATATGCATAATTATTGATTGATCTACGAGGATACAGTGTGTTTAAGCTTTCTCTGTGTTATTCATACAAATATTCGATATGCTAATGTTTTATCTCGGCTGTGCAAGAAATACATCTGTTTGACCCTCGATTAAACCGTTTTCAAACAAAAAACTGGCTTGGTTATGAAACCCTAATATTGGTGGAGAACATTTCGTGGTTTTGGAATGGTCTATAGTAGCGATGTACTCTTAAACTTATAAAATAGAAGAGTAAAGCTATCGGCTTTGATCAATCCCTGAGGATGCGCCATGTATTCGACTTCAGTGAGCATCGTTGGAGGTGATTGTATGCATATCTGGCCTTTACAATGACTTGCAGTGGCCTATCGATGTATCGAGCCAGTGCTGCTATCCTCCCAGACAAGTCTGGTACCAAATTTCCGACCCTGGAAGGATGGAAAGCTTGGTGAACCTTGTGCGCGGGAATCGATCCTATGAGTATTGCAGAGCGTTTCTGAACACTGCACTACACGCGAGCTTTTACTTATGCTTGTAGAAGCCATCAATCTTCTGGTATTAGCTTTGGAATTTTTTTCAAGTACTACCTCTGGTTTAATTAGTCATCGAGTGATCCCTGCATGTTCGTCTTTGTTGCACGCGAGAACTGTGCAAATGATTTCAATGCACCATACTCTTGGTATGAGTGTGTTTCCCAACAGTTTTTGGCGAGTAGTACTCATGGATTGACCGTCTACGGTGTGGGTGAAGCGTGCACACGGCTAATTCAAGCTGACGAAGTTATTTGGTCTATCGGTCGTCGAATACAATCCACGTAATGAGAAATATGCCTGGGCTTGTACACATATGATTACTTCTCTTCGGGAAGTGCGAGTTAGTCTGGCGAAGCAGAGAATGGAATCCTAGTCCTTTAGTGCACCTCCATTTCAAGCTTAAATAATCGCTCCGATCTGTTTAGGTGGTACTTCGTCCGAGTATTAATACTTGACCTTACGTATATTTTGGACCTATATAAGGGTTAAATGTTGGCCTCGGCATTGATCAATAAATCACCACTTTTTTAATGAGCAGACGCGAGTTTGTTACTACACTATTTATTCAAAGTGGCTGACATTTCGGCGGTTTTGCCTTCTTCAGAGACTGAAAGGGTCGAGTTGATTACAATCTGGTCAGCCAAACATTTCCATGAATCAGCAGGAAAATCTCAGCACCAAAATCTCGTTTAGAAGTAATTTAGTGTTTTTTTGCTTACAAGTCTTCTTACAAATATTTGTCTGACAAGGTTGCAATCAACTCGACCTTTACAGACTTTGAAGAATGCGAAGTGCGCCGGAACGTCTGCTGGCGTTAACAAATAGTGTAGTAACAATCTCGTGTCTGTTCATGAAAAAAGTAGTGGTTAGTGATGCTGTCATGACTGAGTGATTTAATACCTCGGTCGTTGTTTAAGCGAGGGTGAATTCAGCACCTCTACGATGCTCAATGGAGTCGGATGTATGGCGCATCCTTAAGTAGTTGATCACCTCTGAGTGCGTTATCCTCTGTTCGTTAGACATCGCCATGCATCTGATGCTACGATGATGGCCAATAAACCACCAAAGCCTACCTACAGAGACTTATCGATTCGTTTGGAAACGAAAAGAACTCGTGGATCTTTGCCAACCAAAACATGTCTGCTTAATCTACCCTGACGAAATTCCGTTCTTCTGGGACGCACACAATGTTGCTCGTTTCTTTTTTTGTGGAGGTTTCTATTCGGAAGCGGACAAAACCATCATGTGTGTCCCATGAGGTCAGAATGTCATCTATGTAGAGTAAGAAAACGTGTTTCTGTTTGACAAAGATCCAAAGAGCTTTTTTTTTCAAGGATATTTCACGGAAACCATAAAAACTTCCGGAGCGATGGAGGCAAATCTGTTCATTGAACCACTGACGTCTCAGCTAGTTATCAAGAACGTCTCCTCAGTTGTCGAGCGGCCATCATCGTTTCGAATGTATCAGGGACAGGCAGCACTTGTCTGGGAGGAAGTTGACTTCACATATGCTTTGTTGGCCGTAATTTATCTCTGGCGCTTTAGATCCTCGAACCTAGAAATGGAAGAATTATAACGTTGTTTGCCATTTGAAGAATCTCTTTGAAATGATTCACTGAAACTGCGGTTTGTCCACATGTTATTTGCTCCTACGCAAGCCAGACGAGCCCCTCACCTGTTCTGGAATTGGAGCTGTTTCATCGTGATTTCCACTGTAAGCGGCAGACTACGAAAAAATGGGCCTGTCTGGATTCTTTGCTGGATATTTCTGTGTGGTCCGTCGTCTAGATTGACTATTTGATGTTGGAAAAGAGTTTCTGTATTAAATCATCACCATCTGTTGCTGAATTCGACTGCTAGATTCTTGACTGCGTCCCTCAACGATGAAGAAGGAACAGAACTTGTGAATTTACTTTATTTTACTTACTAGTTTAAGCCCGAAGTCTGATAGAGATTAGCAGGAAGGCTGCATGGTTCACTAAACTTCCATAGGGTGTTTCTTGTGTGTCTAACTTCTTATTTATTGCTTCTTATTCTTTCATGGAAGAGTGTTATGTGAGGTACGACCACTATGGTGCTAAAATGGTCGAGAGAAAGGCAAAACAAGGGCTTCAATAGTGTAGTGGGCAACGGTTGAGCCCCCGGAAAGGGCAATCGCAGGGGGTCCGTGGTCCAAGATTTGTAAATATCTCGGCACCATAGAGATTGTATTTCCTTGTAGCTTATGGCTCTTAAGTAGCACTGAAAATGTGCCTCTGCTGATTTTTTTACTTGTTTGTTTCAGCCAATGATGCCCTGAAAAACGCTTTCAACCTTGCAAAGCAGGCTAAACTGCGGCTTATAAAAGTCGTCGTAAGAAATGGTTAGTTAATTGATGGTAGATTTTCTTTGTTTCCATTCTTTTTTTAAACGTTTACTACAGAATGAAGCATTTTTATCCTCTCCCTTTATTGTGGAGTAATTTTTTATGAGAACCAAATATTCTACCACTTCGGAAAATTCTTCGAGAACTCGCATACTTCGTAGTATGCAGGTTATTTCCTTAGTGGAGAATCGTAGCCACTTATGCTTTTTTGATGATGAACCCAAATCACTTTCATATTCAAGCTAGTGACATTTTGAAAAATAAAGAAGTTGTGTGGTTTTGTGCAATGAAAAAGTTATAGCTAATTGCTGATGTGTGAATTGTTGAATGAGGGAAGAAAATTTGAAGCGTTCCAATTTTGTGTGGCCTTGTTATTCCCCATTGTCGTATTTATGTAAACAGTTTCAGCACATTCGCGACTTTACATTTTGGCCCTATAGTAACGAAATTCGTATTGTAGAAGCGCATTCGCAAACACGAAAAACATTATCAAGCATTATGATGTCCTTCCAAATGAAATCTCTCCTGTCCATCCGTTTCTGTTTTTTCCATGACGAACTTAGGTTTTTTAATCTGGAGAGCTTTAACGGTTGTTAACATTAACGCTTTAACGGGCATTATTGTGGAGAATACCTTGCTCTATCGTTCTGTGGTTAGAATGGTGAGCTTTCCCACGGTGCCACCTGCTACAACATCTCTGATGGATAGGCTATCGAATATACAAGAATTGTAGTAAACAGGTCCTATGCACCAGAATTTAAAAAAAAACCAGAAAGAAGCCCTCATTCAGGACACCACATACGATTGTATGGAATGTTCACCATCCTTGTATGTAAAATATGATTCTTTTCCTTTTTTATACCCTCGTGGGATGGTTAGGTATCTACAAGGTGTTTTGGTCTAAACCAAAGCTCTTTAGAGAATGTCCACTAACTTTGTCTAGAAGATGGGTGGCTTATTTCGTACCTACATTGATTGCTTTATTTTACGATGAGTGTCTTCAGAAGAGCTCACACCGAATTATGAATACGCTGGTACGGTAAACTGGAAAGATGACTGGCGTGCAACACTTCCTGAGTGCGTAGATGCCTTTGAGCCGTGCTTTATTTTGTTCAGGTTAAACACTATTACGGAATGGATCCTAATAACGTAAGTGATTTTCTTTGTTGCAATATTAGTTGTAATTTGTTATATTTTATGCTCACATTGCCTTTTACATCGAAGACAAGATTCATTTTGATAATCTGCAGATCTATGCTACTCACGCTCCCAGTCAGTTGTGGCGCCCTGCAATACACATGGGATCGATCCCGGCGCCCTAGGTTTACTAAGCCTTTCATCCATTCGGGGTCGGCAAATTGATACCAGACTTGTCTGGGAGGATAGAAGCACTGGCTCAATACTTCACTAGACAACCGCGAGTCATTGTAAAGGCTAGATATGCATTCAATCACCTTCAACTATGCTTAATGAAGTCGAATGCATGGCGCATCCCTCAGGGATTGATCAACGCAGAGAGCTTTCTTTGTTAGCCTCACAGAGCTAATCCTGCAAAGGATGAATACGTCAGTGACTTACTATGGACTTAATTTCTTTAATATTTCTCAATAACGCTTATATCTATGTTGTTCTTCTTCATCTGTTTGTTTTGTCTTAAGTCTGAGTCCTTGAATTTAGATAGCCTAATTATGGTAAATATTTAATATGCTTACTGTTCTGCTAATCAGATTCGCTGATGATCGCGCGCCTATCAAAGAGAAAATGTTATTGGCTGCAACTCATGCTACTTTCAAAAGCGAATTTGGACCCTGTTACATAGAACATGAGAAGCATGTCACCGATAGAAAGGTTTTTTCATATTTCTTCTCAAGTTTTTGTCGCATTTATTGATTAACTATTTTAATACGGTCTTTCATTTTAGGAGCTTTCGTTGGAATCCTTTGAAAACTGGCTGAAGAACAAGTCTGAGTTGGGTCCTATGAGCGAGGTGGAACGAGGTTAATTATAACTGGATCAGTTGAAATAATGGCGTTCCACTGTTCTGTTTGGCAACATGATTTACTTCTGAGTAATGTAATTCCTTAATACGTAAAGTATGTCATATAATTTATTCCAGAATTACACAATGCACAGCAAGAAAGGGCAGCTGTAGTCCATGCTGGACCTCAACACATGAAAGGGGTTGCGTTTCCGTTAGACCGAAATGCTGAGGAAGCCATTAAAAAGCTCGCACAAGGCAAATTGGCTCTTGTCCAATTGTCGGTTGGTTTTCATCATTCCAGTTACTTCCATTTGCTTTTGAGTTAGTATAATGGTTTAGTTTTAGGTAGATACTCTAAATGAAGCGATAAAATTAGAGTCGACTGAAGAAACGTTACCTGCAAGTCAATTAGCTCGGAAAATACCTCGTAACAAGCCCCGATATACTTTCTATCGATTTAGTCACGATGAAGGAGGCAGTATTCAGTTTTCTACTTGTAAGTGAATCTTTCTTTGTAACTGAGAAGGATCGGACCAGTTGCTATAGTGGTATTGATGTTGGTTTGTCAATTTTTGCACAATTCTCAGGACGATCTCTCTATCACTATTATTTTTTGCTTTTTCTCTTATTTTATTTGCTAATCATTTTGTTTTTCAATTAGTCGACTGGAATAGAAATATGTGTAGTCATTTTTAATGCGTTAAGTCAAGCTTAGTGAGGCTTCGATAAGTTTGTGACTAATTGAACCTGCTCGCTGTTTACTTCTCTTAAGAATACGTGTGAATGGAACTGAGATAACCACATGCTTCTGGGTTATAATGTGCATAATATTTTACAGGTTCTATACCTTCGAAACTAACTCTAGTGGGTTTTCTACGCAGCACATGTATATTTCTAACTTATTGGGGTCTTTTAAAAAATCTAAAATATTTTACATGAAATTCCCCTGAAGTATTTAAGCAGATATGATTTCTTAAGAATCACTTCAAAGTAGGTTCAATTTATAAATGTTACGAAACTCAAGTTTTGAGTTAAGGGAGTTAAGGTTTTTGAAGAGAGGTAAAGTTTTTTGTCATTGAGAATTTCGTACTGCTCTTCTTTAGAAAGTATAATTAGTGCAGGTAGACTGATATGTGACAATTACTTTTCTTTCTAATGGTGTACACTTAAACAAACCATCGTCTGTATTTTTTACCTCTTTGAATTCATCTCATGCTTGGAAAGAAGTGGTAATATCCAGTTTTCAGTGCATTCTTGGTGTCGTATGCGGCATATCCGTGGTCCATCTTTCTACTGCTTGATGTTTTCAATTATTCTCAAATCTTTCTGATTTTCAGTCTTCATATATTCATTGCCGTCGTCGGGTAGTTCAATAAAGGAGCGAATGTTGTACTCGAGTTGTAAAGCACCATTTTTGGAGACAGCGACGAAAAGTTTAGGGGTAGAACTGAGTAAAAAGGTTTGCTCTTATATCGCTTCAGTAATTCAGTATCCTTCGTTTCTATTCACCGTAATGAAGTTTACTTATGCAATTTTTGCCTCATTTTACAGCTTTTTCCGCTTTATTATAGATGGAAGTTGATGCCAAAGATGATCTGTCGGAATCAGCTTTGATCGAAGCATTGCATCCGACCACACAGGAGAGCATGAAGCTGTTCGCTCGTCCCGCTCTTCCTCGCGGCGCTGGAGCCCGTAGAATCACAAAAATCTAACACCATGGCCGCTTTACTGTTTCCGCTAACTGTTGATTTGAGCCAGTTTACATCATCACTTGAGTATAAGTTTCAAAGTACAAAGATTGTCATAACACGTTCGTGGTTAAATTTGAGATTCCTGACCAAATTCGTAATTCTCACGTGGGCGTGATTTGATGCAGAACTTTCTAAGTATTGCACAACGCTTTCTGTATTCTGTAAATGTACGGCCAAGGTTATTTTGGTTGATAAAATGTTGTTTACCTTAGTGTTCAGTGTTTTCATGTGCACCGATCTTCAGAACTGAAGGAAAGGGGAAAAGAGCTCGACTAGTAGTCAAAAGTACTTCCATTGATTTTTGTACATCCTCTTACGATATGTTGTGTTCCTCCATCCAATGCATAGTTCTTCTTGTTGTGAAAATAACTTGCGTATCATGTGACGCCTAGTTTCCTTTAGTTAGTGGAACAAAGCATATTCTCTCTGCGAACGATCTGCATTGGACCTAATGCATTTGGTCGGTTGCTCCTCTGAAAGTAGTCACGTTCTTTTTTGTGTGTTTCGCTCTGTGACTCAGTTCTCCCATGAATTTGTAACATTTATATGCTTTTATGGATTCCATGCATTCTTAGAGTTCTTATATTTTTCATGTTTTTTGAACATTGCCAACCTTTATGCGTTATGGAGGCAGTCTTATGCATCGTCCAACAACGATGCTGTCAATCTTTGGATCTTTGGTAGTTTGCGCCACGTCGTATGTTGTGTCTGAAAAGATAAAAAGGATAGAGCCCTTGGCGTCGATCTTAGCGATGCGCTGTGCATTTGTCCTCACTAAGTATTGTTTGAAAGTGAATGAATGCATATCTGGTCTTTACAATGACTCGCGGTGGCCTACCGATGTATTGGTCCAGTTTTACTATCCTTCCAGACAAATCTGGTACCAATTTGCCGACCCAGAGGGATGGAAGGCTTGGTGGGCAAGGGGCGCGGGGATCGATTCCATGTGCATTGCAGGACTCTTCCGACCACTGCGCCACCCGCACCCATTATGTTGAGGGTACCTCGATATTTTGGTAGACCTACTTGCAATCACATTTAAGCACGATGGAGTTGAGCACCTGCACATGTATAAACACATTTAGCGCATACTCTCTGCTTGCGTCCGGACATGTGAGCTCACCAACAACTTTCACCTGCTAAGACATCTTACCACATTATGGAAACTTTTTTCACATTATTGACTGTGGAATACTGCCTTTCTCAGGATATGTCCGCCAGAACATCTGTGTTGAATGAGCCATCGATTGAATGCGAGTTGTCTAGCAACAAAAAACTGCGGCGAAATAAACAGCCGAAGAAGAATGGACCAAAATAGGTTCAGTGCGCGCTAACGTGTGCTTTGATATCACTTCATAAAAGATGGCTCACTGAAGAAGATCTGACTCGACACGAAAGCGAAGCTGCCACGTCGAGACGAATAACAAGCGAGAACCATCGACTCGGATCATCGGCTCTGAGGAAGACGAAGACGTCGAAACGTTAGCCGAAAATAAACATCATTATCAACCTCGTGTAAGCTCATCAAAGAAAGAATACGTATTGATTAGTGATACCGAGGTTCAAGGAAAGTCGGTTTCGAAATACTTCATAAAGAGTCAAGTGTATGGTAGCTCTTCAGGGCCGATGATTGGTAAAATGTCTATGTTGGGCAAACTATCGAACAGATACTAGAAGTGCAGCAAAGAATGTTGATGAAGCAATTTAAACGACAAAAAAAGAAATGAGTTGAAAATCAACTCACTTCCGGTCTCTCAGTGCTGATTTTAGCAAACACAGTCGACATATCTCTCTTGCATTTCTGCACGCCTGGTTTCAAAGTAGTAAGAGCCGGTTGTGATTGAGTAATGCGGGAGCCTCCATTCGGCTGTGCACATTCGTCTATGGCTGTTGTTGGGAAGTAATGATGTAGGACACATGGTCGGTGCTTAATATAATCAGGTGAGTATATCGGTAACCGTGACTGTCAGAATTCCTGAACATGACCGATGGTCCACAATTGTTCTCGTCGGCATGTCGTCACCTCCTTACATTAGAACTGCCCATCTCTTTGGCTATTGGTGCATATCCTCCTGAATCTTGATGGCGAAACAATGATTCACTACTCTGAGAGAGGTGCGTAGAACCCTCGAAATAGTTGAAGTGTCAGCTTTCTTTGCTGCGCAATGGAGATGCGGAATTCTTCGCTGCTCGGTGCCTTCCGTGAGAAACCCTGACGTGGCCCATGCTACTCTTGTTCTTTGGTATATTTCCTCCTTCGTGTTCGCCATGTGCATTGAATTACCATAGTCTGCATGTGACATGGTCTCTCGCATCAGTGAACCATCTCTTTCGTGCCGTAGGTTTTTTATGAAACGCGTTTTCCTTCGAGTAACGCGTGGTACACAGAATGGGTTTCGCAGACGTCACCGTGTTCGATGCAGACCACCACCATGGAACGAACGAGCGAGAGAGAATCGAATGCAACGTACGCTGAGGTACGTACCACCAGTGAATACGCGCGATCCAGGTAAGTAAGAAATCCGTAGTACAATCTCTTTTGCTGTTTTTCTTCAATGAGCAGGAAAGACGTTGGTATTACAGCATTTATTAGCACGCAATAGCTGACGTTTCGATGGTTACGCCTTCTTCAGAGCCTGGAAAGGTCAAATTGAGATGCAATCTACTCAGCCAAACACTTTCATGACCCCAGCAGATAAAACTTAACATATAAATTTGTTTTCGCATAATAAATAGCTTCTTTTTAACGCCCACCGTTTTGCTCTTTATAAGTCTTCCAGTTTATTGGCGAAGAGCAGCGGCACAGACTATTACATGAGCTACATGGGCGAGAAACGTGCCTGGGTCAGGTCACAGGATGTTTTTTCGCTTTGTTTTGCTCATTGAGCATCGTCCCTAACTCGTTGGGACTCCTCAAGAAGATTATGGTGTCATCGGTATAGTGATGATTGAATGGTATTTAGTACCATTGCGTATGCCTCCTTCACACTGTCGAGTAACTTTGTTGTCTGCTGCCGTACGGCGGGGAACAGCTATGGCCAGGTGGTGTTACCCCGAGCGAATCCGTTTCCCCACGTAGGCGTTGAATTGAATCGATTGGAAAGTTGTATTTTCCTAGTATTTCAGTAGAGGCAGCAGTCGAATAGAGCTGCGTTATAGTCGCATCAGGCTCTAGTTTTCTTTGTCTCCACAACCTGGTGGTGGTATAAGTGCATTCCGAACATTTTAGTGGAAAACCTGGTGCGCATTCGACACAATTTTTGAGTCCACTGATGAGTAACTACCATTCCTCGGACGGGTCTGCCTCGATTCGCTATATATTTAGCGAAAGGAATCAAACCATAATTTCATCACCTGTAGTTCCGTTGATAGACGAGTGACTCGAGCGGGCGCCAGTAAATCTTCCACTTTTCCCTGTCGCGTGCAAGAGTAGCCCAGTGTGTTCTGCTTGCTCTAGGGACTCGTCGACTATCATATCTTTCTTCTAGGCTCTTCGTCAAGAACCCTGACCATCGGGTCGGTGGTCTTCCTGCAGTGCGTTTAACATCACGAGGAATCCTGTCACTAACGGCTTTTGTCCATTGGTTGTCATTCATACGCATTACGTGTCCGGCCCAAGTTAACCTCAACTGTTTGGCGTACAGAACGGCATCTTTGATTTTTGATCGTTGACGCAGATCGGAGCTCTGAATCCCATCCCTTACTTGGGTGAAACGGGATACTCCTAGCGTCCTCCTTCCGACTGCGCGTTCGATAACGTTGAATGACCTTTCATCCGGCTTACGCAGCGACCAGGTTTCTGACGCATACGTTAGGGCAGGAAGTACCGTTGAGTCGAAAAGGTGGGCACGGAGTCGGGTGTTGTTTGTTCTCTTCACTACATCCTCGATGCTCTTGAAGGCTCCCCAAGATGCTCGTTTTCTTCAGCTCAGCTCCGGAGCTAGGTCGTTCATCGTATTGATTTCCCGACCTACATAAATATAACTGGAGCATTCGGAGATATTCGTTCCGTTGAGCGTGAATGGGGCATGCGAAGCCAATCTGTTTTTCATGAACATCGTTTTTGTGAGATTTAGTCGAAGACCAATCCTTCCACAGGCTTTATCAAAGTCGTCAAACATATGTTCTGCTTGGCTAATGTTTGGTGTTATAAGGACGATGCCATCAGCAAAGCGAAGATGGTGTAACTGCCGACCGTCGATTTTCGCTTCCATATTATCACATTCCAATGTTCGCATGACGTTCTGCAGGGTGGCGGTAAATAATTTTGGAGAGATGGTATCGCCTTGCCTAACTCCTGTTTTGACGTCAATGTTAATATCGTTGTAGAATGGTGATATCCTGGTTGTGAAATTTTTGTACAGCTTACGAAGAATCTTTATGTACTTAGTAGGAACTCCTTGACTATCACGGGCTTCCAAGACTGCTTCTATCTCAACTGAATCAAAGCCCTTCTGTAAATCGATGAAAATGAGACAGAGCGGTCTTTCGTACTCTCGGGATACTTCAATAGACCTTATTACCGTGTGGATATGGTTCATCGTACTAAATCCTTTTCGAAACATTGCTTGCTCACATGACTGGCCCTCGTCTAGCTTTCTGTCACTCTTGTTTAGGATGACTTGAGTGAAAAGTTTGTAGACGACAGACAGTAAGCAGATTGGGCGATAGTTGCCGATATTGTGTAGGTTACTGTTCTTGAAAAATTACACGGTCCTGCTGGTCTTCTACTGAGTAGGGACCTTGCTTTCGGTCAAATAACGTGTGAAGAGCCGAGCCAGTGTGTTTACGAGGACTGGCGGAGGGGTCTTCAGGTGTTCTGGTCTCATCCTGTCCGCACCTGGTGCTGTTTGATGGGCGCCGGAGTGCAATCATTTTGGTCTTGTAATTGGCGAAGCCTCGGTTGGCTTTGCGAATCCTTTTCTCAGACTCTGCAGCTTCGACCGTTACTGCTGCTCTTC